GAGAGGTGTGAATACTATTCGGGGAGAGGTGAAGAGATTTGGAAGACAAGGGAAGAAACAGCAGAACAAATGTCAAGAATAATAAGTCACAATGCTGGCTACGATACAGACAGAATTTTAATACAGATTTCCTATAATAATTATCTGATTGATATAAAGATAATAGAGTGCTGCAACTATAGAGAATGGAAGGAAATTATCTAACATGCATAATCTAACTTAATTCACAACAGACAATGTTATCTAAATCACGCCAAAAAATTCTGGAAAGTTAATTAGCTACAATAGTTAAACTGTTTTTGGTTATCTTGAATTATACACTATTGGACAAATTACACACTTCAATTCTGTATTAACTCTCATACTCTTGTTCTTGTTTAATACATTTGACTATTGGTAAACTCAAACCACTTTCATTTAAAGTCAGGATATAAAATGTACAGGATCCATTGTAAGGGAAAGAATTTAAAAGCACCAAACATGCTGCCAAACTGTAGTCCCCACCCAGTTATCAAACACAGGATACAACACAGTTTGTTTACTTCTTACAATTGAATCCATACAAAAAAGGTCCTTGCACAGCTCTGTTGTCAGGTCAATAAATCAGTGTTGAAATACTGAAAGATCCAGATAAACTTGTACCTTACTTCCCTCCATCAAATACTTGTCAAAGGTCTACTTTCCTTGCCTGGGTTACTTCCCATAACTATTTTGTAAATTGTCAGTTTATAAAGGCTTCATGAGGCTTGCAATAATAATCCTTAATTTGCATTTACAAAGTAATTTAAACTCTTTCAATTTTTTGATATTTTTTCAATACCATCTGAATATTGCACAGGCATGTGTACCAGACAGCACATTTATATTTACATGGTACTAACTATAACAGATCAAAGTGTAAGCAAATAAGATGTGGTATTATTAAGAAAAATGCATGCTGCTAAACTGGACAGCACCCAAAAATGGACTTGGGGTCATGGTGCACAATTAACCCTTGCTTACTGATTGAACTGCAGGCAGCATGCCAACTTCAGATGTGGGTCCATGCTGCTGTGTGCAAGCTGCTCAGCAACTTCCTCCCAGCTCCTCTTAAAGTTAGCCTGTACTTCTAAATGGAAAGTTGCAACGTGGTTGCAATATGCACTGGCAGTCATGCAGGAAGTGAATCTGACCTGGGAAAGAATGAAAAACGGAACTGATATTTTTCCACTTTGCATAGTGTGTTTTGGTGAAGGAGAGGCAGGTAGGAGAGGTGACCCACATCCACAGGGGATCATGACGCCACCAGCCACTTGGTCAAACTGGATCAGACTACTGCAGTAAAGGTTAGTGCAAGCAGTCTAGATACCTGGATTCTGCAAGAAATTCAATTAACTCAAAAGAGTAGTTAATGTCATTGAATGCATCTCAAAAATGTCATGTCCTCCTAACTCCACCTCTAGCCTGAGACACTCCTTAATTCACCATGCCTCCATCACTCAACTACCAAATACCTGCATCAACCAGGCCTCATACCTAATATTCAAATGATTCATTGCAGTCACAGAATTACCAGCTTTATAAGAACACCCTTGAATTTAAACACACCATTCAATTTGACAAACACATCATCCATCAACCTGGGGCAACAACAGCTAACCAGCTAGGTGTAGGCATGTCTGCATGTTTTAACCCTCGTGAAGAAAAGGTTTTGGAGCAGGAATCAAATAAAAATAATCAATTCAAGGTAAAGATATTCTATCTAATCCTCCTCCTCACTCCCACATGATCTCAGCCAACACACTTTTAACACAAGCATACAACTCTTACATTCCCTCAATCTCCCTTCTTCTGCTTTTCTCCTTTATTTTACTCACAAAGTGCAACCTCAGCAGGCAGTGGAGGAACGTCAATGAGAGAGTGATGATGAAAACAACATTACTCAATTTCAAACTCTCAGCAGCACAGATAGTCATTTGTGCAGGATTTACATGGTAGCATGGGGCAATATGTGCACATGGTGAGACATTGTGCCTGTGTGTGGCAGTCAGGGCAGAACACAATGATAGTGTGTGTGCCAGCTCAGTAGAGGGCATGTAGACACATTAGTTCAGCAACAGAGATATATGTTGAGCACTTCAATTGATCACCTACAGAAGACAACTTTGATGTGTATTCATTCTGAAATGCCCCATTAAAAGCCGCATTCACTGTCAAAGAGCTTGCTAGTGTGATGTACAAACCTGGCACAGGGCTTTGTGCCAAACTGAAAGCCTATTAACTCCAGCTTGAAAGTGGTGGCAACTCCTTTAGCAGGCTATGTGACATCTGAAGGTTGATTTCACAATTTTGACCAAAGTGGGAGCACAGACTGAAGTCGTTTCGGTCAGCTTTTTTACTACCATGGCTATGTATAAAGGTCTTTGCAGGTATCCAGCAATCTATCCTGCAGCGGTGTCTTAGGGTAGCAGCATGTCCATGGAGAGAAACCTGCTGTGTTCCCTCAGGATGACGGTATCAGTGCTTCCAACTCCATCACTCTACCAGGGTCTTTGCTGCTGCCTTTCAGTCAGCCAGCCAGCCCAGGCAGTTGGTGTCTATGTGAAAATGATGCAGTGCACAGCTAATGAGAGGTAGAGGGAGAGCTGCCTTCTTGAACTACTCTAGTTTATGTGGTGTCAGGTAGAGTGTTCTGTGATATTGACCCAATAGCAGTTAAGGAACAACAGTTTAGTTCCAATGGGGATTATGAGTGGTTTGGCATGGAACTTGCAGGTAGGTGGTAGTGCGATGCATCTTTTCTCCTTGTCCTTCCAGGTGGTGGAGATTGGTCGTTTGGAAAGTGCTACTGAACAGCCTTGGTGAGTTGCCAGAGTGCGAGTTGCTGCAACCAGGGAGATTGCCTTCCATGGCCATCTACAGTCTCCACCACTGAAGTAGCCTTTTGCCTATGATTTGACAATCCTTGGATTGGCACTCTGTAGGAGCACTAAAATCATAGAATCCCTACAGTGTAGAAGCAGGCCATTCAGCCCATCAAGTCCACACTGACCCTCTGAATAGCATATCCTGCAGTATCCTACATGGCTAAACCACCTAGCCTGCACATCCCTGGACACTATGGGCAATTTAGCATGGCCAATCCATCTAACGTATACATCTTTGGACTGTGGGAGGAAACCCACACAGCACCTGAAGGAAATCCATGTGGGTATGGAGAGAAAACATAAACTCCACACAGACAGTCACCCGAGGCTGGAATTGAACCTGGGTCCCTAGTGCTGCGAGTTGGCAGTGCTAACCACTGAGCCACTGTCCCACCTGGAAGGCACCATGGAAATTGGCCACAATGGTCATTAGTTATATGTATATGCACGGCACGAGTTACTTTTTAAATTTGATTCGGAATGCTTAATTTGTGATCACTTTTACTTTTGGTTTGCAACCCAGATGATGATTTCATTGTTTAATGGAGGAAATGGAAAACTGTGGGACTACTCATGAGCGAGAAATTGGAATTATGGTTACCACCAGTATTTCACTCGGAGTACATTTTCATGTACAGCAACCGTGAAAGGAGCACTCTAAGTTGTCATTTTCCACGTTCCTCCACCTTCCTCTCTTCTAGCAGTTTATCCTGTTTTAAATCAGCCTCGCTCATTCTCCCAGTCAAGCACTCTTTCAGAAGGAGAAGTCGTCTAGTGCACCTGATTTGTGAATTCAGGCCAAGTCTTACAACACTTGCCAAACCATTGCTTGTAGACCTTTGCAATTAATAACAACTATGGAAGGCAGGAAACATTTGTAAAATTGTTCTAACAGCCAGAGCAAAAAAAAATCAACAATCAACTAATTGATGACCTCCTTCAAATAGCATTGGTGGGGGTTCTTCCTGCTACTTAACTCATGTTCAGTCATGTGAAGTACAGTGATGATATTGGCTGGAGCACTAAGAGACAAAGTGGCACTGTTGATTGACATCAAATCAGTGTTGCATAGGACAACTGACAACTATCACAAACTGCTTTCTCTATATATTTTGAACTAGCTGCACACTAATGCATTTATTCAGAATACATTCAGCACAATTACAACTACAGCTGTATCTACAAACATTGGGTGTCATTTTGGGTCCAAAATGACACCAGTAGCTTAAACATCAGGTGCTACTGACCTGAATTTCAAGTCTACGATGCCTTACATTTGAGATGAATAACATCAACAGTTTTTTATTATTCAGCTTCAAATATAATGGTAAGGATCTGAAAAGAAAGATCTGATGCCTTTAAAAGATAGCTATACAAAGTAACAACAGGGGGTTATGGCTTGTAAACCACGGGAGAAATGCTAAGTAATTCCTATCCACTTTTGATGGCTGTTAGAAATTCTATTTAAAAAAGCATCACCAGAAAGAGAAAGCCTCTTGAGGTTACAGCCATTTCCTGTGATCAGGCATAATGTGTTTCAAAAGTTGGTTTTCTACCAATTCAGTTGATCAATTGCACCTTCTTCAGACTTTCTTTTTTCTATCATGTTTACATCTGATGTGACTCAATGACAAGTCTGTCTGGGCATGAGAAGTCAGCTTGTCATGTTGATTTATGAGTGCATCAAACTGCAACTTGTCCAAACTGAAGCTCACAGTTCATTAATTAGATCGTTGTGACTTTGAAGACTACACTCAGACTGTGGGGTTTTAACATTTGCCTTAATTTATGTGCTCTGAAATGTGTATCTAAGGAAAAACTGAAAATTCCCCGTCTGCCTTTGAACTTCTTTTGACTATACAATAATCATATCTTTGTCCATTATGAAGACTGCATCCCCTAGTCATTAATGCACATTGAACTGCAGCTGATGAGTAAGCCTTTCTGAATTAGCAAACAGAAAGGAAACAAAGATGAGAGACCACTAGAAAAACAGCATTCACTACAACATATCTCACAACATCATGCCCCTTCTTTTTTCTGACACTTCTATTTTAATTATAGAATGTTATTCTTTTCAATACATGTACATACCTCTTTAGTTGGTTTCCCAGCATGTTGTTGCTGCAGAAGCTGAAGATGCAACTGCTCTTGCTGTTTCTTATAAAACTCCTGAAGCTGTTGCTGTTGTGAAAAGGTTATAAAATAATTACATTAGAACAAAATAAACATTTAAAACATTTTTTTAATGTCGTGACACACAGGCCTGCAATTTGAAAAGAGATACGCAGTCACGTTCTCTTATCAACACTTGAACGACCTTTTGAATCAAAACTTGCCAATAAATCCCTCAGTGTATGGACTATTCTTAGCATTATCATTTCAGAACTAATCTTCAAAATGAACTGATGAAAACATGCCATTTTCCACACTAACTAATTAAAATATGGCAAGAAATGACCTTTGTCTGTCTGAAGAAAGCCAAAATATGCCCTTGCTGAGAATACATGGTTATTCACGGAGCAGTCAACGTAATAATTCATAGGAGTAATTATTAGCAATTTTCTAAACAGGTCACTCAAAAGTGATCTGTAAGCACGAGCAGTCAAGCTCCTCTAATATATCTGGCACAAGGGCATAACACCAGAATTTGCAGCATTATTTCAGCAGCAGACTCACCGAAAAGAAATGTGAATTCAATTAAAGTCTGAATTTGACAAAGGCTCCATTTTCAGATGGAGTTAATAGCAGTTATCCAGTTTTGATCAGCATGGTCCAGACTCACTTACTATAATACTTATCTCTACTTGTGCTGCAACGGAGAAAACATTTTCTACAGGGGAGCTCATGATATGTATTAGGGACTCAGGCAATCTGAAACATGAATGATGATTAGGGAAGCTACAACTTGACCAACACAACAGAATACAAAGCAAGAGAACACTATGCAGATCTGGCAACACTAGAGAACACTGCCCAGTTCATCATGCAAACCAGCCTTCCAGCCACTGACTCCATCTATACTTCCCACTGCCTTGGGAAAGCAACCAACACATCAGAGACTCCTCCCACCCCAGTTACACTCTTTTTCACTATCTTTGGTTGGGCAAAAGATATAAAAGTTTGAATATTGTCTAAACAGATTCAAGAACAGCTTCTTCCCCACTGTTATCAGACTTTTGAATGGATTTCTCAAATGTTAATTCTGATCTCTCTCTGCACCTTCTCTGTGGCTGTAACACTATTCTGCACTCTGTTCTGCTACCTTGATGCACTTTGTATGGTACAATCTGCCTGCGTAGCATGCCAACCACAACTTTTCACTATATCTCGGCACATATGACAACAATAAATCAATCAATTTGGAGGACTAAATTGGATAGTCCCCCATAGCAGCCATGGGAATATGGGGCAAAACTGTATGTTGTGCTAGGGTTACTGCATCCACCACCACCAACCGTATATGAATGTCGGTAGTGAACCTGTCCTGCTCCCATGAGTTTCTCCATTCTGTTTGTTTCAGTGTGAGACAGTCATTCAATTCTCAGAAGGAAATCTACCTGAGTCATACAATCATAAGAGTTATACAGCACAGAAACAGACCCTTCAGTCCAACCAGTCCACGCCAAACATAATTCCAAACTAAACTAGTTCCACCTGCTTGCTCCTGGCCCATATCTCCCCAAACCTTTCCTATTCATACACTTATCCAAATGTCCAAATGTTGCAATTATACCCATATCCAGTACTTCCTCAGGAAGTTGATACCACATGCGCATCACCCTCTGTGTAAAAATATTTGCCTCTTATGTCTTATTTAAATCTCTCTCCTCTCACCTTAAAACTGTGCCCCCTAGTCTTGAAATCCTCCATCCGAGGGAAAAGACAACTACCATTAACTGCATCTGTACCTCTCATTATTTTATAAACTTCTATCAGGTCGCCTCTCAACCTCCTACACTGCGGTGAAAAAAGTTCCAGCCTATCTTCATAACTCAAACCTCCCACACCCAGCAACATCCTGTTAAATCTCTTCTGAACTCTGTCCAGTTTGATAATATTCTTCTTATAACTGGACGACCAGAACTGAACACAGTATTCCAGAAGAGGCCTCACCAATGTGCTGTACAACCTCAACATGATTTCCCAATTCTTACATTCAAAGGACTGAGCAAGGAAAGCTATCTTGCCAAATGCCTTTTTAACCACCCTGTCTATAAATGAACTTCATAGAATTATGTACCTGCACTTCTAGATCTCGCTGTTCTGCAACACTACCCATTAATTGTATATGCTCTACCCTTGTTTGTTGTACCAAAATGCAATATTTTGCATTTATCCAGATTGAACTCCATCTGCCATTTTTTAAGCCCAGTGACCCATTTGATCAAGACCCCTCTGTAATCTTAGAAAACCTTCATTGTCTGCTATGCCACCAATTTTGGTGTCATCCGCAAACTTACTAACCATGCCTTCTATATTCTCATCCAAATCATTTATACAAATGACAAAAGAGGATCCAGAACTGATCGCTATGGAACACTGCTGGTCACAGGCCTCCAGTTCGAAACACAGCCCTCCACTATTAATCTGTCTCCTGCTGTTGAGCAAATTATATATCCAATTGGCAAGCTCATAATGACTTCCAGGTGACCTAACTTTACTATATAGTCTACCATGCAGAACCTTGTCAAAGGCTTTACTAAAATCCAAATAAACAATGTCTACTGCTCTGCCATCATTAATCTTTATGGTAACTTCCTCAAAAAACTCAATCACGTTTGTGAGACATGATTTTCCTTGCACAAAACCGTACTGACTATCCTGAATCAATTTTTCCCCTCTCTAAATGTCTATAAATCCTATCTTTTATAATCTCCTCCAGCAATTTACCCATAATCATAGCCAGACTTGGAGATCTATAGATCCCTGGTTTCTCCTTATAACCTTTCTTAAACAAAGGTACAACATTAGCCACACTGCAGTCCTCAGACACCTCACCCATGGTTATAGATGATGCAAATAAGAGAGAAGCTGGCCCATCATATGACAGTGGAAGCAGTGGCCATTGCAAAATGTGCACCAGTCCGCCAACTCTAACCAGCCTGGGAGTGAGAATCTGCAAAGGAGCTACCCCCCTCTGGAGATTAATTGCAGGAGAAGGTGGTGCAGTGGTAATAACACTGAACTAATATTCTTGAATCCCAGGCGAATGAGGCATAGGTTTCAAATTGAACCATGGCAGATGGTGAAATTTAAATTGATTTTACAAATCTGGAATACAAAATAAAATGAGACCATGTACCACTGCTAATTGTTGTAAAACCAACCTGGTTGACTATTGGTCTTTAGGGAAGGAAATCTGACCCCTCTAACTGGTTTGGCCACATGTGACAATATGGTTGACTCTTAACTGCCCTCTAAAGAAGTAGAGGTGAGCAATTAATGCGAGCAAAACAGGCAGTGCCCACATTTCATGAATGAATAAAAGATATTGGCCACTTAAAGGGTTTGACTGGTCGAGGCTGGCAACTCCTCCCACATCACATGGAAAAGTGCAGTGGAATTGGAGCAAGGTACCAGGAGCAGCACCCATGTTGTTATGTCTAATTTTATTTCCCTTCCCATCTGTCCACTTGGCCCTGACAAAGCATAATATTTTGCCCATGGTGCGCAACTACACAATATCCATTCATTACATTACAGGCATTATCATAGCCATGATCACTGCATCCAGCTTGTGCAGATCATGCTTTTCACTTGTTGGAATGCATGAGCAAGAGTCTGGTATTGTTCGTGGCAAGCACCACTTGAAGTTGGCGGCCCCTCTCACAGATGAGGTGTGATCTGACTGGAGCAGTTGCTGCACTAAGTAAATTTCACTTGGAAAAAGACTGAAGAAAGTGGGCTCCAAGATTTTCAGATGTTGCATTAGAACTCTTGGTGCAAGAGGAGGGAAAAGGAAGGAGCGATATTCTATATCCACAGGAGGAAAGAAACTTTCCGGACATTTAGTCGAAAGAGCATTGGACCGTTTAGGCCTGGAAGTCAATAAGAGGAGTTGAACTGTAAGGAGCTTTAAGAGTGCTGCAGGAAATTTTCAAAGTCAACAAATCCATCGTCAATTCCCATGTGCTGCCAAATGCACTAGATGTAGCCACTGCTCATTGGGCACTTACCAACAACCTTAAACTAATCATATTAATTCCAATATTCATATGATTAACCTCACCTATAAAAAATTACAGTATCGTTGCAAACCTCACACTCACAGTCAGCTTTTCAAACATCATAGCAACATCAGCCAAATGAATTCCAGAATGCTCACTGATACACCTCCCTGTCTCTTGTTGAACAAATGAGTAACTGGAGGTAGGCAGCAACCGGAAGGGTTGGCCAGCATCAGCCACTGTTCAGGCCATAGTTAATATCAAAACCAATGAGGATCACAGCATCATCATACATAACCTAATACGTCACATCCGACATCTCTCTCAAGCCCACAGTCTTCTGATTTAAAAGCTGCAAGTGCTGTAAATATGCAAGTCCCTGAAACACGACATTCTCCTTATGCTTTTCACTTTTCAGGTATCAACAGGTGCCAGTCAGTGAAGGACTTTAAGGAATGAGTGATGATGATACAGAAGTGGCATTGACACTTGATTTCACAGCTGCAGCCACCAGCATAGATACTGACACAGTACATAACTGGCAGGAATATTCAGGCTGTGGTGAAATATTAGGCATGAATGAGTTGGAGCTCAGGTAAGAGACAAGGATAATGCAGGTGCCAACTCGTCATGAGTTCAGCAGCAAACAACTCAGCGGAGGACTTTGATTAGTATGCCTACAGTGCAATACTGATACATATGGATGGTGTCATGGGAAGCCTGCTGGAAAGTTTATGGCCAATGTCAAACAGCGTGGAGAATTCCAACACTAAGTTAGCACAGGGCATTGCACAGAGCTCAGAACACATCCAAAAAAAGGGAAATAATTGCCAATTCCATTGGTACAGTTGTGGACCCAGTGATGATACACATTTGATGGCCATGTCACAGTTTCTATGGAGGCACAAGCAAAAGCCACCCAATGTCCGAGTGCTGCAGGGAGGATCAACATAGTGCTATATGCAGGGTTACCTTGCTGCTGTCAGATTGTGACTCTGAATTCTAGCACAGAAA